AATTCATGCTTCCAAAAATAACTTCTAAAATAAGTGTTATATATGCCAGTGGAGAATCATGGATCAATTGTGGTATTTTTTTAAGGTTATTGCTAATTTTTCTATTTTTGAAGCTTCTATATAGTTGAAGATTGCAAGATGATTTTGATTATGTAATAATTCGTAAACGTAATAAACTGCTTTTCTGAAAGTAAAATAAGGGAATGAGAAGATAACCAAATTATCACTACCCCTGTGTTTTACAAAAGTCTGTATTTTGAAGCTGAGAAAACAATGACAAGCAAAATGAAATGCTCAAGGCAGCACAAGAAATTAATACCAAAGATAAAAACCTAGGTCACCTCATTCCTTTTTCAGTGCTCTAATTTACCAATTAGTTAAATGTAACACAAAATAAAAGAAAACCAGAAACCTATTCCGTGACTACTTAGACAGAAGAGATGTACCAAGAGTAAACTATTTTTATACTTTTACTCTTGAAAGAAATAGGGCTAATAATAACTAAATGCATTTATCAACATTACTCCAAACTAGAGCTACAGGAGACATTTAACCCAACTCATCCATAAAGTTCTGAACAGTATCTAAAATTCCTTTGCATGAGAACTGATAAATGAATCGAGTGAAGTAGCAGAATACAAAGTTAATATTCAGAAATCAGTTGCATTTTTATACACAAATAACAAACTATCAGAAAGAGAAATTAAGAATACAATCCCATTTACAACTGCATCAAAAAAAAAAAAATACCTAGGAATAAATTTAACCAAGGAGGTAAAACACCTGTGTTCAGAAAATTATAAGGCACTGAAGAAGACACAAATAAATGGAAATGTATACCGCGCTCATGGATAGGAAGAATTAACATTGTTAAAATGACCGTACTATCCAAAGCAATCTATAGATTTCAGTGTAATCCCTATCAAAATACAAATGGCATTTTACACAAAACTAGAACAAATAATTCTAAAGTTTATATGTACCACGAAAGTATCTGAATAGCCACAACAATCTTGAGAAAGAACAAAGCTCCACCTAATCACACTACCTGATATCAAACTATACTACAGGCTATAATTATCAAAATAGCATGGTACTGACATGAAAATAGACACAGGTCAATGGAACAGAATAGAGTTCAGAAATAAATCCACGCCTCTATAGTCAATTAATCTATATGACAAAGAAGGTAAGACTATACAATGGAATAAAGACAGTCTATTTAATAAATGGTGTTGGGAAAACTGGATGGATACAAGCAAAAAATGAAACTAGACCATCTTTGTACACCATATACAAGAATAAACTCAAAATGGATTAAAGACTTAAATTTATCTGAAGAATTCCAAAATACTAATTCAAAAAGATATATGCATCTCTATGTTCATCACATTATTTACAATAGCCAAGACATGGAAGCAACCTAAGTATCCATCAATAGACAACTGGATAAAAAAGTGGTACATACATATAACAGAACATTATTCGGCCATAAAAAAGAACAAAATCTTACCATTTGCAATGATATGGATGGACCTAGAGAGTATTATGCTAAGTGAAATAAGTCAAACAGAAAAAGACAAATACCATATGATCTCACTTATATGTAGAATCTAAAGAACAAAATAAACAAACAAAATGGAAATAGACTGATAAATATAGAGAACAAAGAGATAATTGCTAGATGGGGGCGGGGTTGGGGGACTGGGCGGAAAACATGAACGGATTAAGAAGTACAGATTGTTAAAAAACAGTCACGAGAATGTAAAGTACAGCATAGAGAATATAGTCAGTAATATTGTAATAATTATGTATGGTTCCAGGTAGGTACTAGACTAATCGGGAGAATCACTTGGTAAATTATATAAATGTCTAACCACTGAGCTGTACACCTGAAACTAATATAAAGTATTATTGAATGTCAACTGTAATTGCAAATTTTAAAAATTAAAAAAATAAATTTTAAAAAAGTATTAACACTTTGGAAAAGAGCTATTAAGAAGGACTCAGACATCCCACCTTAAGATTACTTGTGAATTGTGAATCAGCAAAGTAAACTCAATTCTTCATTTAAAAAAAAAATAAAAATAATAAAATAAAATAAAATAAAATCCCTTTGCTTTGTCCGTAGAATACCTATTTCAGTGTGTGTACAACTGACAAAGGTGACTCCTGTGTCAAACCAAATGATCAGGTAAATTATTTGGAGATACTCTCTATAGAATGGATATATCTCTCTTCTATGAAAACACCAATTTAGAAGCTCATGATTTTGAATTTTTAGTTAGACTTTTAAAATAATGGATACCAGTTTCCATTATATTTGTTAACAGACTGACCTTCCCACACATAGTAACTCTGGTCAATACATAAAAAATAACTACCTGAAGGCTCTGAAGCATGAACAAAAGTAGGCAGGTTTGGGAAAGGAATGGAAACTTGGAAGAAGAGACCATCATGGGGTGAGTTTTCCACTTTTTATAGTTTAGCCTGAAGGAACACCACAGTCAAGATGCAACACAGAGCAGTCAAAACTCACAGTAATTTCTGGATCAAAAAACTAAATGACAGAGCCCAACAAAGTCAGAGAAGTGGAGCTCAAAATTCTGAGTTTTCCACCCAAGTCTATGAATCACATATGTGTGAAGAAATTTAAGCAGTTCTTAACTAAGGCTTTTAAAATAATGGATACCAGGTTCCATCATATTTGTTAACAGACTGACCCTAAGGCCTTTTAGCCTTAGCTAAAAACTGAACTGATGTTTGAGCGGCTGCCCACCACAGAAGAGAAAGTCTATAGTTTGACTCTGACCAAACTGTGTTGTAAAACAAAACCAATAACCCTCTTTAGAGAAATACAGTAGAATCCAGAATTTCCACAATGTCTAGGATACAGTCCAAAATTACTCAGAATAGCAAGGAAAAGGAAAATGTGATCCATTTTTTAAAGGAAAAGACAATCGACAGAGGCCATCCTCAATATGACCCTGATGTTACAAAGAACTTAAAGCAGGTATTATAAAACTATGTCAATGAGGTTTAAAAATGAATAAAAAAAAAAAAATAAGAAATCTCAGTAGAGAAATCAAAACTATAATAAAAAAGAACCAAATGGAAATTTTAGAACAGAAAAATACATTCTCTAAAATAAAACCTTTACTGGATGGGCTTGAAAGGAGAATGGAGATAACAGAGGGAAGGGTTAATAAACTTGAAGAGAGATGAGTGGAAATTATCCAACCAAAAAAGTAAAGAGAAAAAAACTGAAAATGAAAAAAGACTCAGGGATCTGTGAGACAATATCAAAAGGTCTGAAAAATGATAGGTTTTAGATAACTTTTAAAGGACATATAAAATATTTTCAATTTGATGAATGAACAATAATAACAGTCATTAGTCTCTGAGTTCTAGTCGCAGCTATTCTCCTAGCTAACTATTTTAACCTAAGATTGTCAGCTCTTCTCTTTGGGAACACAGTACCTTTTCCATATAAAAAGAGCTATGGACAGATTAGTGGTTCTTCAATTTAACTTTTCCTCAAAACCTTCCAGGGACTTTTTAGAAATACAAGCCTCACCTCCAGAGTTCATGTTCAGAAGGTCTGATCTGAGGTTAGACCCAGGCATATGTGTTTTTCTTAAAGTCCCCTAAGTTATTTTTGATGAAAGCCAAAATTGAGAACTACTAAACTATATAATACTTCAGGGAGACAAGCAGAGCATATGACAGAGACTCTTGGTGCTGGTAACTTGTGAATTCTCTAAAGGAAGGTCCTCTACACAGATGTAGAGACAAGATATCTGCCAAAATTTTACAATTAAGTCCCTTGGAACAGGGGCCATAGCTTATCAATCTTTTTTTTTAATCACAGTTAAAGACTTTTAAATGAATGTTATTAAATGTAAAAAAGGAATTTTTCAAAGAAAACGTTCTATACCATCCGTTTCCAAATTCTTAAAGTTTGTCAGTCATTGTATATATGTTTCTAAATAAAAAAATGATAAGAAAAAATACTCGGCTTTCTCAGAATTATTTGGGTAGTCATTCATTCAACAAATATTTACTGAGCAAATACTACATACCTAGCTTTGTTCTAGGTGCTGTGAACAAAAGTAACACAAATTTATAATTTTTGAAGCTGTATTTTAGTGATATTGAACAAAGGAGAAGCCACAGTATAAGGAGCCATCACTTCATTGCACATATACATACTACCACAAGAAAGGCAAATTCTTGGAATTAAAGTTTTTTTAACACAATAATCATCCCTAACTTCTCAAGAAGAAATATGAAACAGTATATTGTTCTAAAGTACTAATTTATACAAAGCGGGCATAGCTAACTTCTCATAGCAATGTCCCTGAAATACTGGGCATAAATAAAAGCTGAGCAAACTAAATAATTTGAAATATATTCCTTGAGAAAGTAGGGACTATTTAGAGAAAAGTAACTGCCTTATTTCAGGATATTCTGATGTGATTCTTCTGGTAAATATATTTATTTTGGTAAGATATTTAAGACATATTATTCAATAAAAAAGACAATTAAAAAAGAGTGGATAGTATAATTTCACAGAAGTGATGAAGTAATTTGTATACCTATATTTATGAATGTATACCAAAAAAATGCCCTAAAAGATCATTCTGGGAGGGGCATGCTAAAATGATAAAGGAAATTTTTCACTTTCTGAATTATACATTTCACCATTGTTTAGACTTTCTAAAATAAATATATATTACTTCCATAAGCAACAAAAACAATAAAGACATTCTATGGGAGGAAGAATGTTGGATGGGGGGAGGGGAGGGATAAAACAGCTTTCTGTAATGTGAACAATTACTTCTAATTATTTTGTTTGGAAATTTGTGTTATTATGGTATTTTAATATGTATCACAGTTTTCTTAAGACAGGGCACACATGTACTCTTTTCTTCCATTCCTATAAGTTGCACATACTGGTTGCCTTTCAAACATAAATAATAACTATACTCTTTCCATACCTGCTAGAGGGATCATCATTCTACGATCCTGTTCCCATGGAGGTGAAAGGGACCCAGTGTCAGAAGGCGCTCTGTGAGGATCGGTTAACTTATCACAGCTTGATTCTCCTCTTTCAATGGTAAACTGATGGTCTAGAGGATTCCCTGGGCCTCTTACGCCTAATTAAAGGAAAAAAAACAACTCTGTTTTATCTTAAAAAGTGTTATAAGACCTATCATCACCAAATAAAATTCAGATACGTTTTCAAAAGTGAAAATGACCAGATTCCAACAAAGTTTCCCTAAGACACATTACACTGTAACTCTATTCCACCAAAGTCATTTCTAGGACAATTTTGCTATGTGGATAAATAAACACTTGCCTATAAAATGTTTTTAAATGTTATCATCATAATTGTTTTATACATAAAATTGATGGTTAAATTGTAAATTATAATGTCTAAAAAATAAAAGTAAAAAGTAAATTGCAAAGTAAAAATTTCTGTATTGGAAGTAATAAAATAATTATAAAATGAAGTTTTTGTTGCTTAAACTAATAAGCCAATAGTCAAAAATAGCATGATTTCTTTAAAACAGTCTGAGGGGCAACATATTTCAATAATTCTGAGACTACTCAAAGTATTTTTTAGAAAAAAATCTTTGTAAATGTATTCAGATTAACTTTAAAGCCACCCAAGAAATTGCATCTCGATGTTGTAATATGACTCTCTACTCATGTCTCGAAATTATTTTAACCAGTCTGATTACAAACTTTATCAGAGAAACTTGGCTATCAATGGCTTTTAAAAATTTCTATATATCAAATTCGCCTTCAAAAAGAGCTCACAAGCTCTGAAGGCAAGTCTAAAACAAGAGTTTCAGAAACAGCACTACTGTTAGAACAAACACTTAAAAAAATATATATTTATTTGGATATGAAAATCTATCATGCTTACATTAACAAAGGAGGGGAATCATTTAAAGCTCCCTTATGACTACAGAAAAGAAAGTATCTCAATTAAATATTCAATTACAATAGAAGAGACAAATAAAAAAAAAATTTAACTAAATAACAAAAGATATTAATACCCCATTTATCCATCACTGAGAGATAAATGAGGTCTTCTCAAACTTATACTGCCGAGAAGACAAAAGCTTATTCCTTTCAAGAAACAGCTTTATTAAAAACCATTTTTTAAACAAGTGTTTGTAAAATGCTTCCCACATTATGGTACCTTCTTTAAGAAGAGATGAAAATTAATTTGACCTTTTCTTGGTAACTTGTGCAAATCAGTTTAAGCATTCTTTTTGTCTTAATAAATAGCAATCTCTTAAAAGTTTTTCTATCTACTCTCTTTTGTAGAGTCAAAAGGTAAAGTCAATAAGAGGTCAACTATCTGTTTTCCGTTTAATTTTACATTCTTTTAAATTCTCCAAATCTTTCCTCCTTGCTTGTTCATCCGTCTAATCAGTTCATTAGAAGAAAAAGGCTGGAAAAGCGGAAAATTAACTTGGTAAGAAATGTGCAAGAGTCCATTAAGATAAATTCCTCTAAAGTGAAGCACAGATCTTTAAAGGAGACATGTGAAGGCTTTATCCTGAGTGCTTACTTCCAGAGGACCAAGTATGGGCCAACTGACTGACTACCAGGTGAAAAATGACAAACTAGAAAGTGCTAAAGTTTTAAATTTTTCATTCAGACCAAAAGTTACATACAATTTACTCTAAAAAGAAATTATTTTACTTATACTCAATCTTATTCAAACATATATTTCATCCAAACTTTCAAATTTAAAAAGGTAATAAAAGGAAGAAAAAGGAAGGGCACTGGTGATCCTTCTTAGGTGGGTCACAGAAACTTTCAATTCAAAGCAACTTTTAAGACCTGCTGATTACTTACCTAAAGTAATAGTTTTTCCAACAAGTAGTAAAACATCCTTGCAAATAATCTATATACATCTTATATTGAAAGTAATTAGAAAGGAGAGAAAAGTAATTTAAATAGGAGAGGAGAAACCAAAGGTAATTTTTATTCTTATTCCAAATATTCAGTTGATTACAAGCAATCCTTGACTTATGTCATTCAAGTTCCAGTGATTCACATTTGCAATCTAGCCAATTACTCCCTTATTTTTAGGAGACCATCAATGAGACTGCTGACTGTAATCCATTTTGGTGCATGAAATTAACTTAGTCTTCATCAGTATGAATATTATTTCATGTAACTGGTTTCAACTACATTTATATTAGTATGTAATATGACATGGTATAAAATATATTTCTTACTGTAGATCAAGGCAAAAAGTTGGGAGAGGGGAATGGATTTGGGGCACTTACAGCACACACCTGAATTTCAAAATTAGTCCCCTTCCTGGAGTGCTTAAAGCAAAGCTCTACCAGGGCTTCAAGTCTGCAACTCAATCACTTTCCCTAGGAGCTTTCAGCTCAAGGCCACCACAAGCAAAGGAGCTCTCTGAAGTGCCTTCAGGCTGTGGGCTGAATCTAAAGTGGGACTGGGAAGAACCAGTGCTAAATTTAGCAAACTGAGGATTGGGAAAAAAGATATAAATAAGAAATGGGGAAAGAGAAAATACCTCTTGAACACAAAGTAGGAACATTTTTTTTTCAGATTCTTGAAGGCAATTCCAAAGAAATAGTTCCAAAGATAGTCAAAATAATGGCAGCTTCAACAGGGAAGTACACCGGACTTTTCTGAGAAGCTACTTTGATGAGTAGTATCCATGTGAATATCTGAGCTTTGGTATGTTGGGTTTAATCTGGTTTTATTTGTTCTCATTACTTTCTGTTCCTATGTCAGATTCAATATGCTAAAATCACGGATAAAAAGGGGAATGGGAACACAACACTGGTAAAGAATGCTATCAGCTCTCATAAAACACAGATTGGGGCTAAAAATCTACACTTTTGATTTTGAAATAGACAGGGCTCTCTAACTTTGAATTCTGCCACAATTCCAGAGAAAATTTTAAAGCAACATGACAGAGTGAAGTATGGTTAGAGATCAAAAGAGGAAAACTGCAAGTATGCAGGCAACACCAGAGTGAGAGCTGATGAAGTAAAGGCAAAAAAACCAACAGCTAATGCTTAGGCTTGAAGTAGCTCTGGAAATTCTCAAAGACTTATAAAGGGGTAATCGAGCAAAGTTAGGCTGGTTTTTCAAAGTATTAACAAATGATTTAGGTCTCCTTGAAGGTTCCCATCAAAACTCTATCTAAAAAACAAAACAAAACAAAAACACTCTGCCGACAAAAAAGCAATTCTGAAATCCTCAACTCTGAAAAAAAGGTTCTTTCGCTTTGATTTTCCACAATAGAAAGATCATAATGAAGTAAAAAGAAGATTTCTAAAACTCTACATTCTAATGTTTCATTAAAACTCAATTTTATGCTAGTTTATACTGTATTTATGTATTCTTTATAAAGTTTTATATTACAAAGTATAATATAGTTTTTACAAAGTCAAAAATTATTTTAAAAGATATGCATCAAGTACTTGACCAAAATGTAACCTCTTGTAAGTTTTTAAAAGAAAAATATTAAAATTAGATATCAAAGAGCTCCTTTTCCTAACAAAAGTAATCCACAATAAGTGCAAGGAATGCCTGCATTGTCCAAAGGATTATTTTAAAGATCGTTTTAAATATTAGTCAAGATGAAAATATAAAGGAAGAAATTTAGAGTAATAAAGATGTTTAAACAATATACCTCTTCCTCCTCCCCCTGGAAGCAAAGGTGAGAATCTGAGTGGACCCTCCAACAAAGGTGGAGGGGAGAGAAAAGCTCTCGTTTCAGATGAAGGTCGACCCAATGGTGAGGGGCCATATGGGGAATGCTCTGGAATAATTAAAACAGCATATTTAAATTCATAGTTTCAATTAGCTACACTACAGAATAGAATCCCATTTCAACAATTACCATCAGGTCATCCTACTGCCAAATGAAGTTTAATCCACGTCCTGAACACTAACTGTGCTTTGGATTTTGCTAACATGCAGTAGAATTAAAAATCAACCCCTGTGCTCCATAAAGTCTGTCTACCAAACGTACATTTTAGTCAATAAAGCATTATCCTTTTGAGAATGAATACACATAAATAACCATACAATATTAAGCAATGAGTACTGGTGATATTTTGGAGCTACAAGAAGACCTGGGGCATGCAGTTTGTTTAGTTTTATTGGCAACGTGCTTCCAGATATTTCAGCTGGTGAGGGACGTAACATGGAAGGGCTCAGTTTACATCATGGCCAGAAGCCATGAATTATTTCAGTAAAGCTTCAGATTTTGAAAAGCAGGGGGAAAAAAACATAAAATACTCTAAGGCATCAGAAATTACTTTTGATTCATTACCAGTGAAAAAGTAGTTTACATATACTAATTCATAAAAAAAATATTAGTTTATCTATAAACTATATAACCAAGAGCCCTACCATTTTACAAACTTCACCATTCCCAAATAATGGTTATGCTCCAAAAGATCAAAAATCAACATCAAAAAACAAACTTAAATACCAACAAAATAATACTTTTTAAACATGTTAAATTTTATTATGTAGTTTATATAGTATTCAAATTAGTTACAACAAAGGATCAAAGCATTTTTTTACCCTCCCTGAGGCTTCTGCATTAATTTCAGACAAAAATACTTTCTGGATACTTCCACTCCTAAATTTGTTACTATTTGAAATTCGTAATAATCTGCTATCTTTAAAATGTAGAAACAGACTTTCATTTAAATAAAACTGGACTCTCAAAGATGATTTTTGTAACTTTTCAAAGGTTATTATAATGGGATTCTACCTATATAAAGATTAAGTTTATTTTCACTGCCTCGGAAGCTTAATGAGAATTCAACCAAAATTATTTTGAACATTTTAAACAATTTGGAATGGTATGAGATCATTAAATATGCTAACTAATTTACGAATGAACATAAATATTAAAAAATATATATTCCAAAGAATTGGTCCTCTCTTGGGGGTATTAAAGCAATCGAAACTCAGATTACTCAGGTTTTCTCACCTTTTAATATTTTTAAGTAATTAAAACCAATTGTTTTAAATCTCATTTTTATAATTCAAGCAAATACCAAAAAATAGTTAATGTGTAAATAGTCACAATGCTATTCTATTTAAGCAATCCTTATCCATTCATTCTCCCAAAAAATAATTAATGAGTACTTTACAATGTGCTGAGCACATTTCTTTTCAAGGAGCTCAGAGTACTAAATCTACATCATCTTATAAAATCCTACCGAGAAAGAGAGACAGCAATTATTCATAGCTAGGGAAACAAAAACTCAGAATCTTGGAAGATTGTGAGAGAACTCAAATTAGAACTCTAGCTTGAAAATCTAAAATATTTATAGATAATAGTGTTAAATTTACACTAATAAACTGTATGTGCAATATACATAAATATATATTTTTAAATGAGGATTAAAAAAAAAAGGACTACCTCTGCCAAATGCTGTATTTGGAACATCAAGTGCATAAGGATCTTTTTCTAAAAGTTCAAATTTAAACTCTGTTTCAGTTAATCTGCAAATAAAGAACAAACATCTCTAAGTTACTTGTGAAAAGAAGCATCCACATTTCAAGAAAAATGCCACTAGCAAGAACAAGCTACTCTTCACTTTCTCAATATCTGCATAGAAGAAACAGATCCTTTAAAATTATTGTCACCAAAATACCTTTTTATATCCCCCACTTCTTATATTTGGGTAAGACATTTCTTTTTGCCTAATGATAGTGATGTTTTGTTGAGGTCTTGATTTGTTTTGTTTTTCTTCATAATAAGATTACAAAGAGTACAATTATCACAAAATACAAATTTTAGAAATAAAAGGGTCCTCCAAGATTCACCAGTCCAACTAAGGCAACTGAGGCTAGGAGTTTAAAAAATTTATTCAAAATGAAAGTGCCAGGATTAAAACACAGGGTTCCTGGCTCTGAGTCATGTACGCTTTACATTGTAATGTTACCCATATGGTTCCAACCATAACATAAAACTGAAATCCAATTAACTCATCTACTATTTTTACTTCTAAACTTTTTATCTTAGAAATGTGATATTTTAAAAGAATATTATGTCTACTTCTTAACTATCAGATCTGAAATAAAACATTTAATCATTGGTTTTAATTTCTGACTAGAAAAGGCAAGCAATATAACTAAAACTAATATTGGATAATGTTAATACTACATTCTGGCAAGAAATTATAACACTCTAGGAAGAGTTAAAATCTTCATAGAAAAGCATTTACTCTTCCCTTCAACTGTACATTGTACGCTTTTATTCTCCCTTTAATTTGATTATTGTAAAATAATGCCACCCAATGCATAAAACCAGGGGATAAGAGAAATAACAAATATTTATTCTATCCATTTATCCATTAAAAGATGCTGATACTGAGAATTACTGTCAGATTCATCCTCTCTCTTTCCATCTCATGTAATCTCCCTCTACCTAGCCTGTTTTGTTTTGTTTTTTTTAAGTTTTGTTTCGCCTTTTACAAAAGAATCTGTGAAGTTTTCTTGTTAGTGGCCTAAGACAAGTGTTTCGACAAAAAAATCTATTACCTCCTAGTAAAACTAATAGATATTACACTACTTAAGATGTTAAATTTACTGTAAGTTTTCTCGTTTATTCTTATAAAAGTATTAACTAATTAACAGAATAACAACTTACGATAAAAGTAATAACTAGTTTTTAAAGTGTTCCCAATAGAATACTTACTTTTGTCTGTTGTGAGCATTTTCTTTCTTTAAATCATTGAGGTTTCTTTCAGCAGTCCGAGCTGCCAACTTAAAAAGATAATATTTTTTTAAAATACAGTAAACGAACTTAAAATCAAAGATATGCAAACATAAATATCTCAATGATGGCATAGAAAAATCAAAATCACTTAAGTATCTATTTCAGTAAACTCAATGTAAAAAATTTTTAATTTAGGGAATAATTTTTAATAGGAATGAGTTTTGTGTAACCAGAAGAAATAAACCTAAGGCTGGCGTTGAATCATATACTTGCCAATAAATGCTGTTATCTAAATGTGAAGTCAAGGATTAGCATTATTTGGTGCTGTAAATATCCAAATCACATGACAAGAGTGATGTAACAGGACCCAAGCTTAGGGTGATGAGAATGGAGACTCGGGGTCATCATGCATGGCAGCACTGGCTATGGGACAAGGTAACCATCTATGAAAAGAAATCACTATAATTCTGTGAAACAATAAAGGTCTAAAATAGTTTCACAACATACCAGTATAGGCCATTTTTTTAAATGGCTGAATATAATTAAAGCATGCTGCATGTCTATTAAATATACAGCACTGTACGCATAATATTACTTTTACATTTGTTTAGTGACACTTTTAATAAAAGGTTAGAAAATCAGAGTTTATGTTATAGAAAACAAAGCTTACACTTATGATAAATACCAAGAACACGCAATATTCCCAAACGGTTGTGGGCAAAGGTTAAACTTGTATGGCTTACTGCATGTTTTCCAGTCATTCTAGTGATTCTCCAGATTAGAAGCAGCAGTATA